TTTTGGGATACCTCACTCAGGATGATCGTTACTAGGTCCCACCATTTGCCTGCAAATTTCATGATTTCCTCGTTTTTAATTGCTGAGTAGTATTCCATTGTGTAAAAGTACCACAATTTCCGTATCCATTCCTCAACTGAGGGGCATCTGAGTTGTTTCCAAGTTCTGGCTATTACGAATAAAGCTGCTATAAACATGGTTGTGCAAATGTCCTTGTGTACTTGAGCATCTTTTGGATATATGCCTAGGAGTGGTATAGCTGGATCTTGAGGAATCACTATTCCTATTTGTCTGAGAAAGCACCAGATTGATTTCCAAAGTGGTTGTACAAGTTTGCATTCCCACCAGCAATAAAGGAGGGTTCCCCTTTCTCCACATCCTCTCCAGGATGTGTTGTCACTTGAGTTTTTGATCTTAGCCATTCTGATGGATGTAAGGTGAAATCGCAGGGTAGTTTTGATTTGCATCTCTCTGATAGCTAAGGACGTTGAACATTTCTTTAAGTGTTTTTCTGCCATTCTACAGTCCTCTACAGAGAGTTCTCTGTTTAACTCCGTGCCCCATTTTTTAATTGGATTACTTGATTTGTTTCAAGTGGCCTCCATAGTAATGGGAACAGGGACTGTCTCTGACAGGAATTGATTGGCCTTCTCTTTGATCACCTCCCCCTGGGGGTGGGGAGGAGCAGCCTTACCAGGCCACAGAAGAAGACAATGCAGCTACTCCTGATGAGACCTGATAGACTAGGGTCAGAGGGAAGGGGAGGATGACTTCCCTTTTCAGTGGATTGGGAGAAGGACACGGGTGGGTAAGAGGGAGGGTGGGATTGGGAGGGGAGGAAGAAGGGAGGTACGGGGGGATATAAAGTGAATAAACCATAATTAATAAAAATAATTAAATAAAAAAGAAAATATTTAGAAAGAAAAAATAAAATCACAATTTCACAGGTTTTTTTTTTTAATATTACTGGTTTCATTCTTTTAAGCATTATCATTATTAAAAGGCAATGCAATAAACAGCCACATTGTACAGAATCTGGGGTGTGTTAAAAAAAATTACCAAGAAGTTATCAGACCAAATAAACTCCTTAACTCAAGAAACGCTCAGTGTGAACACGTGAATACAAAGAGACATTTGAAAAGAGGACCAAGGTGAATGAAGTCTCTTCTCCCCATTGTTGCTCTTAAGGCTCCTGGCAGGGTCTGGGTGAGTGTTTTTGCTTGCTTGCTTCTCTCTGTTTTGGTTAAAATAACATTTATTCTCACCATCAAAAACTTGAACACCCAACTTCCCAAACCCTTTCCTTGTCCAAATCACATTCTGTTGGTTACCGTATTTGCTTGATCACACCACCTTGGTACTGGCGGAGCATGCATCCAACCCTTACCATATCATCCTGCTAAAGCGACTGTGAGCTCTTTATGTGGACTACCACAGCAAGCACCTCATGATCTCCAGGTCTGCCAAGGTGCGGGGGGGAAAACTGTTTCAGCAGAAATCACATCACATCATTCACCAGATAGAACCCTCTCTTCTCTACAGAATGATTGATTCGCAGTGTTCCATAAAGGGCTCCATTATCTGAACTCAACCTATGCCTCTGGTCTTCTTGAGAGTCCTGATTCTTCTCTACCTAAGACTTTTCACAGCCTTACATCAAACTCATGCCAGTCCACTTCTCAATGGAAGCAATTTTGGTTCCTCCCCTAGTCTGATGCGGTCACGTACGTGCCCATAAACTCCAACTATTTTCTAAAACAAAGTTCAGACTCTTCTACAACACCTCCCTTTGCACTCCGCCTCCACCATCTCCAATATCCATGTGTAACAACAGTAGAAAAAGATTGTCTCACAAATATAAAAACATATCAGGGAAAATGAAGCCAATAGAATGGGCCAGAGAGGAAGAAGCATGACAAACTAAAATTTTATTTTTATTCTTTTTGTCTTAGAGTCACAAGGTTTTATGGCTGTTCGAGTTATTACAGGCAATCCAGACCAAAGTTTTCTGTGGTTTCCCTATAAAAAGTAAAAAAGCTCTTCTCTTAAGACAAAGTTTGGGAAATTCATATCTAGTTGTGTAACACTGACTATAATTTCAGTGATCCTTCTACAGCATTCATGAAAGCAGCCACTACAGTATTCACCCATAAAAACAGGATCCCAGAATCTGAACTTCAGAGTCTGAGCGTCTGTCATTTCCCTTAGCCGCCATTTAAACTTTCCCAAAGAAACATTTTTTTTTTCTTTTTGGTCATTTTGTGCTTAACCATCACTGCCCATATCATAGTTTCTCTGATTACAAACAAAAAAATTTCCACCACAAGCTGGGATAACTGAACCTTCCTTGCTCCTTCAAAAATTTTTGTCCATAATCAAAAACTGAAGAAAAAAAAATTATATCACAATGTTGACTTGCATCATTTCACAAGGAATTGAGCAAGGCATGGGCATATCTAGCAATGTCCCAGGAAATGGCTGCCAATCATTAAGACCCAAACCTGACTCTGAAAAGGTCCTGAACATCTAATCCTAATTCTTTAACTCAAACAACTTAGGGGACGCTGGTGTTTGAGGATCTGAAAGTATAAATCACATTAGGATTAATAACTGACCTATTTAAAGTTGTTTTACAATTCATAAAGGCTTTATTATACATAAAATTTCAAAATCATGCTTTTCTTAAAATATTTCAGAGGTAAGGAAATATAGCGGTGTGGACCCATTGGATCCATCTTCATGCAACCTGCAATCACTGCTTGGCTGAACTGGAAGCAATTTTTTTACAAGTATGATCTATTTTTCCACAGATGGGTTTTGTGAAAACCTTTCTCAGGTTTCACTTGACCTTTAGCTTCTGACTTCAGTTCTGATGGATTCTCAACACTTGGGGCTGTCCTGCACCTTTTCTTTCGAGGGTATATCCCAGCTTAAAATAGGTTCCCATTTTCTGTCTCAAGTCCCCCCAGTGATGAGCCCCTGGTCCGAAAAATGACCCTGATACTTGGAAAATAGTTTCTGGTACAAGTCCCTCAGGTCCCATAATGGCCAAACCTCCTCGTCCACTTTATAGGACTGCCCCACCCCACAGAAGAGCATGTACAGGAAACGCAGCCCTCCCTTTCCCCACACGTTTCCTCAGTTTATTTATGAAATGTCTTGGAATGAGAACGAGCTGCTTGTGGCTCCTGTGGCTCGTTCTGCGATGGTTTCCTGCAGGCCGGGGAAGCAGGTCAACCGAATGACCTCTGTGTAGCTAACCCATATACCCCAATGGGAAGGCTCTTTGGTTTTATGGGTACCATTTCTGACTGTGCCCGGAGGGCTTTATTTTGGCAACGAAGAGCTTAATAACCAAATATCACTGTGATACAGACTAATATTGTAAAGGTCTGTCGGAGTTCACACCTTCCCTACTGCTCTACTTGAAATACGAAGTATTTCTCAGAGGCTCATGTTTTCAATACTTGCTGCCTAGCTTGTAGTTGATAATATCTGGGGAAGGGGTGGAGCCCTTAGGTGGGGCCTAGCTGGTGGAGAGAGATTATTAACGGGAGACCTTTGAAGTTTATTGCCCAGACCCCAGTTCCCCTCCCACTCTCTGCTTCCTGGTATGGCACCGTAAGACTGGAGGGCTTTGTTTCCTCCATAAAGAGCTTAATTATCAGACATCACTGCAAAGACAGATTCATGTCTACTGGCGTTTATCCCTTCCTCTCTCAATAAAAGGAGTCAGAAATATGCTAAGGTACCTTTAGACCGCCGACGCGTCGACTTTTCCTTCTGAAAGGAACATGGTTTTCCTTCTGGCATGTAGAAAGTCCTATAAAGGGTTAGCATTGTATTTGTATCGAGAATCCATTTAGAATGAAGATAACCTTAAGCATGGGCTCTTTGTATAGTCCTATCAGATAACACATGGTTAATGCCTAAAATCAAGTTAAATGAGAGGAACTCAAGTAAATGATGACTCAAATATTTGTTTATGTTTGTTCAGATCTGCCAGTGATCACTCTCACTTCTTGAATTTATGACTGCTGGAAATCTGGGAAAGTGTGGTGACGGTGACTTTTCCATTAGACCAGTCCATCCTCAACAAATACACCTTTTACTTGAATGAGTAGATTTAGACAGAGGCATCAAAACCCTGAGACTTCTCTCCCAAAGGACAAAATAGTAAACATTGATTCTGATAAGCACTGGCGTTTGATTCATATAGACTTCCTGATAAGATTTAAATGTAAAGTTTTTACATTACATAAAAATTGAATGGTAAGAAATATTTCAGAAAATCCTTGGGAAATGACAAGATGCTAATGTTTCTGAAACAGTTGGAGTTGGATCAAAGAGTAAACCATTCTCTAGTAGATGCTCTGGACCTAATGCCCTTACTCAGCCTCCTCACTCAAGTGTGTGTCAGTTACTGCACTTGCTGAGGGAGCCAGAGATGAATGCTAGTCATCAGTGACACACACAACATCAAGCCAATTTTATCAGTTTCATTACACACACTCACAACCATAAGATTGCCAATCCCTTATCTCCCTGGGTGCTGTTTCGCTAAGTAAATTATACTAGGATTTTAAAAATAAATCATTTGAATCAAATATATTGTGACTGTGATTTTTTTTTTCTTGTTTGATTCTCTGTGTAGCCTTGGCTTTCCTGGACGCTCTCTGTAGACCAGTCAGTCTGGCCTCAAACTCATGGCGATCTGCCTGCCTCTGCTTCTCAAGTGCTGGGACTACAAGTGTGTGCCACAGCACCTGGCTTAGTATGAATTTTTCAAGTGCACAAATTTATGAGATTTCAAATTAAGAATATTATATATGGTTAAGGAAAAATTCCAGGAAGGGAAAATCTTATGTCATTCACCCAGTATCACCAAACTAAAAGGTAATTAGGGTAACATATATGCAGATGGAATGTCATTTAATTTCATGGCTACAGTCTAACTTCTCTTTCTCTTTTTCTACTTTGTTCCCCCCAACCCACCCCAGTGCATCCTAATGTCAGCCAGGGCTGCCAAGGAGGCTGTGCGACGTGTTCTGACTACAATGGATGTTTGTCGTGTAAGCCCAGACTATTTTTTGTTCTGGAAAGAATTGGCATGAAACAGATAGGAGTGTGTCTCTCTTCATGCCCAAGTGGATATTACGGAACTCGATATCCAGATATAAATAAATGTACAAGTAAGTGCCTGTACCACTTCATATTTTTATCTCATCTCCAGGGATTTCTCCTGATCAAAAGAACTCCTAAAAACCTAAAATAGTTTTTAAAAAGTAATATTTCCTTCATGTTTAGGGTAACACATACATAAACTTAGCCCCCAGAGCAGGAAAACTCTCACTTTTAACTTACAAAAACATTCATTCAAGATCTGTCTTTATTTTTGCTTGTTTATTTATTGGTTGGCTCATTTGATTGGAAAGCCTAAAGCCAGGGCCATGATTACCACTCACTGGAGCTATAGAAAATTACTATAGATATCAGAACCAACTGAGTTTGCTTTATTATCATAAGAACAGAAGAATTACAAGAACTTGGAGAATTATTTGAGCTATTTTGACTTCTTTAAGTTTCCAGTATAGCAATGAAAATATTTATTCTGTGAGTTGGAAATTAAGTTTATGAGTGCTGTCACCTTGGCCTCAAAATTCTAACCTCAACAATGAAAACCAAGTGACCATTGAAAAGTCCAAACCACGGAACAGCAGCCCTCCACCCAAACAACCCTTATCACCATGCCCATCCTTCCGAGCCACTCCCTGTGGCTGCCTTCCATCCTGCACGAGCCTCCCTGCCACTCTTCTATGAGCTTCACAGGCCAAGATCTGCCTGTGCACTTTTATTTGTCACTGGCTCCTCTGGCAACATAGAAGCTGATTGCTCTGATTCGAGTTGCTAAAGACCTCACTTTCTGTGAGGTGGTCCATGGTCCTCTCATCCAGCACAATCCGCCTTCTCCATTTGTCAGTCACCTGTGTGTTTTCCTACCTGTTGCCATTTTTACCTTTTCTTTTTAACTTGCCATTGTGATTATTGTTTCCCAGGACACTTACCACTCTGGAATGGAATTTCCTTAGCCTGCCTCGGTGGTTCTTGGCTAGACTTGAGCCTCTGTTATCTTACTTGTAAATGAGAGTCATGGTAGTGACTACTATCTTGGCTTATGCTAAAGTTTAGCTAACAATATTGCAAAGTACTCATAACAACCATGGCTTATGGTAATCATTACACAAGAGTCGATTGATAATGTTTACTGTGCCCCCGGCCAGAAGGCAAGCTTTTTGAACACTGTGCATCACCTCCATGAACTGCTATCAACCAGTATCTACACTTTTTGACAAATAGTGGACACCTAAATATTTGTTGAAGGAACAAATATTGCTTGAGAACAGTATAAATATAATATCTCAGCATATTTTATTCAAATATGAATAAAACGTCATTACTATTAAAGGCAAAGAGCTACTTGGCCATTTGGGCAGGTTGAGTACCTCTATATAAAATGCCTGCCACCAGAGATGATTTGGGAGGTTTTTGCATTTGAGAATAGTTGTATAGACTTTACTTGTGGAATAACCATAATCCAAACATCCAAAATCTATAACGTTTTGACACATGATGTCAGTGATCAAATGTTTTAGATTATAAAGAAGTCTGTATTTTAGATGCTGGAAGTAAATGTCCCCAGTGAACGGTATCAAGGCATTTTCAGGAGGCAATCTGTACCATCATTTTGAAAGCAGCAGCTGCTGTGTATCAACTAGATGAATTTGGAAGAGTCCTCAATTCAGTCAAGGAAAATAATGTTGAACCACAACATTGATACAAATGTTGCCTCTATGTGGGAATTTGATCCAGCAATAGTTTGGAGTACATAACAACAGAGTCACAATACTTTTTCTGTGTTTTCTTTCAGAATGCAAAGCTGACTGCGACACCTGTTTCAACAAAAATTTCTGCACAAAGTGTAAAAGTGGATTTTACTTACACCTTGGAAAGTGCCTTGACAGCTGCCCAGAGGGCTTAGAAGCCAACAACCATACCATGGAATGCATCAATATTGGTGAGAAAGGCCTCTAAGATTCAGAATGGATGAGAAACACAGATGACAATGACAGTCTCTATAAAGGTCCTTCTCAAAGCTCAATTATGCAAGAACCTGAGAGGCTCTCTCTAGTAGACTTTTTCCATCTTTGTTTACAAAGATACTATCCCAAATCTGTGTTCACATAGCTGTAGCCAGCATGTGTCGTGGGTAATTAAGGAGTGCTCTGGTATTTCTTAAGGACTGCTAATAATTGTTTTGAAGGGTTCTGATCATCAAAGATCGCTTAAGTTTCAGAGAGAAAGAAAGAGAAAGGAAGAGAAGGAGGAAAGTATGTGTGAGGGGGAAGAACTTAACTAATTTCCATTTTAGACCTAGAGTTTTACAAAAGTCCTTAAATTGAATAACAACCAGTAATGAAAGTCGTTTTCCATATTTTCTCTTGATATAGCCCATTAATGCTGCAGTGGCCTTCTTGTACAGGTACTAAAAACACCATAAAGAAGAGAGAGAGAGAGAGAGAGAGAGAGAGAGAGAGAGAGAGAGAGAGAGA